GTCACCCTCTGGCACTTTCACTTGCAGGAACATTTCCTCTATATCCGCAGCGACAGCAAATGCAAACTTTTTGAACCTTAGTAGCAGTCAAGGTAATGAGCTCACGCAATCTAGACCACTATATAGATTTTTACTCAAAGAAACTCCTTCTTGTTACGCAGAACACCTGGCTTCCTCGGATTAAAGACGGGATGATGAGGCAAATACCACTTTCCTGGCTCGTCCTGATCAGCTAGTCTTCCAACGTAACCCTTCATTACATGTTTGTCGACGACATCCTTATATTCGGTCCAGAGACCTGCATCCGTTACAAACTTCTTCCTCAAACCCATTAGTCTCTTAAGAGCAACTTCTCTGTTACAAACCAACTGTCCATCTTTAAATCTCCATGATAGGCCGAGGTTGAAGCGCCCATTTTCATATTTACAAGACTCATCTATTTTAACTGCTTTTAAGTCATCCACAGAACGACACTTCTCTTGGACACTGCTGTCACAAAACTCCTTGTCATACATATTTCTAATCATAGTCTCCAGTTTGTCCCCATTGTTTATAACCAATGATGATATGTGGACCATGGATAAAGGTCCTGTCACTGTCCATCCCAGTGGCGTTTGTGTCGCGAACAGATCATCTCTACTTCCGTATCTCTCTTCTAATACCTTCTGAGCTTCTGGTACACTAAATCCAATGAGTATTCTCACTCTACTATCTTGCAGTATTGAAAACGGTATGTAACAAAGGTGTAGCTTACCAACAACTGTTTCACGACTAGGTACTATAGCTTCGCCAAGTTTCGTGCTGGAAGTAGTTTTCCAGTAGTCAGGGATTCTAACTGAAATGACACTCGTTCACACATTAACGTTTTCGAAGAATTGAAAGTATTTGGAACCAAGGATTGCTTGCGCCCTTAATACCCAAGCAGCCAACCAGCTTAGCATCTATCAGTGTAATGTCTGAACCACTATCTATCAACGCACATGTATCGACACATGACCTTGGCCCTCTTACTCTTACTGGCACAACACTTAAATAGACCTTCTGGAAGTCGAGCGGTGCGAAACTGCTATTACAATTAATAGAACTCCCCTGATTCTCAGAAACTGCCAACAGCGGATGTAATCGCAATGAACCACTACCACCATTCTCAGCTATCTCAGTTAAGACTTGTGTGCCCATTCTTTAAACAGCAGAAGCACAACCATTTCCTTTTCACACTTTGCAACATCTGAAAGAAACGAGCACACTCACTAGGTATGTGTACGTCGCCACATATAATACACTTTCCTGAACGTCCTATGTTTTGAGAACCTCTCGTCATGAATGACTTTGTCTTACTCGCTGACAACTCAGTTTCAGAAGCCAGATGCAATATACTGACGAATTTACTCATAGTCTGATTAACATTATCTGTCACTGAACTTAGTAGATCGTCGAGCCCTGGCTCTAAACATTCGTTATCTATACGAATGCTTATCTTCACCCATTTCCTTTGCAGTCGAGTAGGTAGACGTCTCGCTATTACCTCTAGGACAAGACTCGAGTTCACATCGCTCATGCAATTCATCGAAACCAACGTATTTTTGTAGGTCATCAGATTATCCAGAAACTCAGTGAGTGCCTTGGAGTCGTCTCGTAACTGACTATCATTACCTTTAACAGACTCGAATACATTCCTTACAATCATCGAAGGTCTTCCAAACCGCTGACGTAGGATATGCATATAATCCGTATATCCCTACCTAGGTAGCAGCAACTTGCAACACTGTATTTCGCTCGCCGCACTACCAGCACAATACCACCAAAACACCTGGTACATCACGATTATCCAACATAACATCAGACATAACATTACACAAAAAGGTGATGAAGACACGCAACTGACACCAGGCACTAATATCCGTTAACAGATCAAATCCTTAGGAAGCTTTTCCTCTTACTTATCTGCGCAGCATCGTTTAAACCATGAGTGGCAAAAAGGGCGTCAAACGTAGGGTTGCAAAAGCTAGATCTTCATTTTTCTGAAAACAAATTCCAAATATGCTCCATTCGGCATAAAAGACAAGATCTGAACTTTATATATATATCAAATCTGTGCTTCTATAAGGTTCAGAAAATTGTCATGTCATTGAAAACCTTCAGTCACCATCTGCCTTCCTTTAATCAACATTAAAAAATGGATAAGTGACAGGGGATTCTAGTAAAGAAGCACCCGACGATGCATCAACCCAAAAAATCAATATCAATTAGAGGGCCACTGAAATTTAGAGGGTAGTGGACGGCTAAGCTAACAATTCGGCCACTCCGGCCAGAATTAAGTGATGCGCGAGTTTCAACTTCTGTCAATTCACGAATTCTAGCTTTATCACTAACGAATAGAAAAACGGAGGAAATTCAGTAAAATTTACATTTATTTCGGAAGATTGGGGAAAGCATATGACTTTTATCAGCAAGATTATTATTCACACAATAAGTAGTGGTCTATCATTTAATCGAAGAATTTTGCATCACGGTTATGTGAGTTACCTAAGCGCATGAATAGATTATGAGCAATAAGCTGTGGTCGAAACGTCATCATTAAATATTACTGTATAGCAGTGAGTGATTTTATCATGTGTGCATTATTATGATATTGATGATGCCTGTCAACTGGAGTCCCTCAAGTGCATAAAGTGGGAATATATTATTGTAAGACGCATTTTATTGTTTTATGAGGGAATTGACTTCAGGCTTTATTTATTTTCCCAAGTATATGTAATCCATCCAACGCATTCTTGAGTTTTTTTTGTTAATGCGAAGTCAACATCTCTATATTTCTTTGTGTGTTCCATTGAATCACCAGTTACCCGATTTTCCCCACAAACTAAAGATAAAATGACAGCAACCATGTTATTTAACCGTAATCCATGTAATTTAAATATGTAACTGAAATAATTCTTATCCATTCCTGTATAACTTGTGTGTCCTGTATTTCTATGAATAAATATGTACCCTATTATATTATCATTACTAACTATACTAACTAACTGTATGTGTAATTTATCGAATTGATGATGCTTGTAAACTGGCGTCCCTCATGTAAAAAGAAAATGAGAATATACTATTATTATTGTTATCAAAGTAAAATTGTATCCATTATGGAATCAGACCATTAAAATAACCATCGGGATCAGTCCAAACTGTGGGCTCTTTAAAGAGAAGCTGAATTTTTACAGTGGGAAATACCACAGTGGTCGCTGCGAGCTAACAGACAAACTGCCTTGGTATAAAACTCGCCATAGTTACATGTATTTTTTACAGTGGCTACATAACTGTATTAATGCCATTTAAGAGACTGAGAGTATTGACGTTAACGGATGGTACGAAGCATACTAACTCAAGATCTAACACCCACAACTTATATATTGTCCGTTCAGCTTAGAGCAGGGCAAAGCAAAACAACAGAATTGATCGTCCAAAGTACGAATTATATTTCTGGGCTAAATCGGAACACAAGATGATTGCTAGACAGGGATAGTGCACGAACGAAAGAACGTAACAGAAGGTCATATTATATGGCGTAAGCCTTTATCTGAACAAATCGATTTAAATAGTGAGGGTCAGCGTTCAGTGTTGAGTGGTGAATGCTGTGGCCAATAATTCGGGGGAACTGCCTACCACTACTCCGTTATAAATGTGTGCGTCGGTGGCATGGCGGTTAGGACGCTCGCCTACCATGCTCATGGTCCGGGGCTCGATTCCCCGCTGACGCACTCCTTTACCTCGCTAAGCCAGAAATAAAAGCTGGCATGTGGCTAGCGACCCCATCCTGTAAAAATAAACACTGCTACAGAAACTTCAAGCTTCTAGCTTGAAGCCCTATGTTCCACTGGGAACGTGAAGGAATAAAAAAGCTCCGTTATAAAGAAGTAAATTTCTTTGTGTTGGGTTGTTAATACGGTCCCCATGAATGTAATGGACCGACTATCCATCGACATAGATGTACTGAACATAAATGATTAACAGATGCATTTGCAACTGGGATCTTCACACTTAAATGTGTATCCGCTGTTGTTATAATAATTTAGTTCTTGTCTAACTCCCATACTTCGTGTTTTTTCTCAAGTGCTTAAGTGTTTCGGTTCTGTGAATTGATCGGCCTCTGCAACAAATCATATGAGGAAAGACTGAAGAAATTAAGTCTTTTCACACTTAGTTACCATAGTCACAGGGGGAGACCTCATCACCGTCTATAAGATCTTAAATGACCAGGCCCACCCTAATAAAAGCATCCTGCCATTAAATGATTATAGGTTTCCACGAGGTAACCCTCTAAGGATAGCACACTAGAGACCAAAGACTCGAGTGCGTTCACATTTCTTTTCCCTTCGAGTTTGCCGTCTCTGGAACGCTTTACCGGCGGCCGTAATTACAGCGCCATCTGTGGAGACTTTTAAGCGGAAGCTGAACAGTCATGCAGAAATGCATGGTTTGTGTCTCAATGGTTTATCCTCTTAAAATTTGAAACCACACTGTCAATGGATAAGCATACAAGCTAAATCCCCACGACCCGCCCTGTCTTCTCTCACTGTACCGACTACTCTATCTTTTCTTTGGTCACCTTTATTATTTCACCTTCATTATTTCACTTATCTCAAGCTATATTATGTACACTATAACCTATTATTATTATTATTACTATTCTACTTTTATGACTACACCGAATGACCAACGGGTGTTAGGTCAAACTCCATTCACGGCAGCAATTGAGTCCTAACATACTGTACACTTCAAACCACATCTTAACCAATCCTCGCACCACTCCTCTTGGGGTCTACCAGAGCTAAAGCAGTCGAGTGGCGGGATTTACTACGCATAAGTTCACCGAAGATCTGGAACCTCTACCTTACAATCAAGAAGCTAGCTCAAAGAAATCACTGGTTTATATTAGCTCGTAATCAGGATATTGGATATTGGTCACTGTGCATTGTTTCAAGTGTAGCTGCACTACATGCTCCAGTCTTCTTCACACTACAAACACTAGTAACGGAAGACTTATGGTACACCGAAAATCAAGGACCTAATACACCCGCTGAATACAACTGTGATAATGACCTTCGCGACTGGGTGTTTACGTCAGTCCGTCCGCAGAGATTTCACCAGGATCTTTTCTTTGGTAAAGTACTATACTGAAGATAACTCGACTATTTTTAGTTGCCAGGGGAGAAAATTCTGCTTGTGGATCCTCAGCTTCTGAAAGCTCTTGATCGTGTTGCAAGCATGTCCACTTTAAGGCAGCTTTCTGTTACTAAAGTTTTTAAGATTGCTGAAAGCCCTCCTAAAGCGGACTATGAAAGGTTGGTTTACTTACGTAAAGGTTATTATGGATTGAGAATCACTGTATTTACTAATTTCGAGACTTATTTACGCCCTACCAAAACGAACATGGTAAAATGAATTTAAGGCAAAGACGGAAACTATAAAAGCTTTCTGTTTTTTGAGATTTACCGTGCGCACACATAGCCGATTATCATGCTGTATATCTTGACAATAAGTCACAAATGCAAATGGTATAAATGCGAGTGCGTCGCATCACCAAAAGGTGAAATATATACAATTTATCCCTTGAGTTGGTGACATATGATTAAATTAGGACATTCGATTTCTGTTTATCAACCAATTATCGTTTGTAGACACATGGTAGGATTGTGTTCATTTTTGAAATCTTATCCGTAATATTTACATAACAGTTGATTAAGAAGTTGTTGTCTTTTCGGGTGTTGCGACTCTCACTAACCAATTAACCAAAGCTGGCTATAAAAACAGGAAGGTAGATAAACTTGGTGGAGCATTTTAGGGCGATTCTGTGCATGTCGTTGTGAAATAAGATAACGTGTCTCACCCATCAGTCTTAAGTACTGTGTAAATGCTGTTTACCTGGATTTTTTGCATATCTGTGGGTTCTTATGGTGTCAGCAACTTCTTCTTTCTTTAGCATTACAAGGGAGCCATATATTACCAACAGTGGTGGCTAAAAGAATGGCTGATATAGTAGTTTATCTGATATGGTAGGAGGGCAACCTGGTCACGCACTTTCGGTGACTCAGCCATGTTCGGCATGACTCCCAGTTAGCGTACGATAACCTTGTCAAGCATGGATTCCATACACGACCTAGCAACACAATAATTTTGTCTCTTTTTGATGTTTATGTTAAAAGTGTAACTCCTGAATGTTTCTTTGGATTTTTAATGATACTTCAGTGTAGATAGTTGTTCTTAATACACCATAGGACACTTACACTGGAACCTGTTTCTCATGTTTTCATTTAATGCAAAGGATGCCTTGTTTACTCACTGTGGCCAGTTAAGTTATTTAAAAAAATTATTTTCCTCCGCATTGCGACTTTACGACCTCACGCATTTTATTGTTGTTATTCCTGTCCTAGACCAGTCACTCTGAAAAAGAACAAGTCCTTATATACTTTAGCAAGTGTTTGTGGTTTTGGTTTACGTACCTTTTGTTTCAATCAATATCTCCCTGGTTATAAAATTGTCCTACTGGCATTAGTATTGTGTCCATAATTTTCTGTAGCATGTAAAATCTTGATTAGTGTTAACATATATTTACTTATATCTGATACAAAAACGTCCGTGTCATCTTTTGCAACTTCTTCAGTTTAATGAGTAATACTGTTACAAAACCTTGATTAATAATACAGCCGAAGAGATAAGGTTTAACTAACCACAAATTTAACAAGTCACGCAGTGTACGTTTCTGAACTAGAAAATGTTTTAATGATTATTCTCTTTATTTTGGTGGTGCATTTGGTGTAGTTTCTCTTATGCAGATTTATCAAATGTCTTGTGTTACAACCTGCCAAGTGATTGGCAATATACTTATGTATTTTCAATGGAAGCTGCTCATATGACTTTTATAAGTGAAGTATGAAAGAATATATCTCAGTTTTAAAAATTAAACAACAGGATCTGTAGATTGTGTATATTTGGGTCATTTTAAGGGGTTTTGTTTTGTCATAATTGTCTGGCTCCAAGATTCGTGTGACGAATTGACGGGTTATCAGACAGTTAAAGATAAATGTCTTAAAACTATCATCCTAGCCTAGAAGTGTTCCTTGTTGTATTCACACAAGGAGTCTGACGTAAGACGAGTAGATATGGAATTGACTATGATTTCCAAATTCTGCAAATTTTATTTATAGTCACACAGCCATTAAGTCTTCTCTTAATGCGAGCTCTCACTAAAAATCCAGACAAAATTTATTGATAAGCTTATCATTGATAGGTAAATGATCAGGTTTTTAATTATTTATGGTACTATTACTCTGGCTGTAGTTGTAACATTGTAAGTTTAGTACGTGCGCGTTTTCTTTTAGCGTAATTAGAGTAGTCAACAGCGAATTGTTAGACTCTGACAGGTTTTGAATGTCGAACATGGCTATATCAAGCATATGAAATTTGTCACACTACGTAATACATTTTCTAGAATGTAGTCAAAGGAATATGATTGGTTAAATGTAAGCTCATGTAAGTAAGTCATTGAAGAGGAAACTTTCCTCGATGTTTATGACTCAATGGAGGAGATTTTCCGACTATATTAACAATTTCCTGATTAATGATTGGCTAATGGAATATTGATCTTGACTTAAACTACACACATCATTAGAGTTGTCAAAAATAAAAGACAATTTATATATATATATATATATATATATAAGATCCAAATGCTGATACTGTTGTACAAATAAGAAATAATTATTTCGCCTTTATTTTTTGGAAACTATTCAGGATAGCTTATATGATTCCATGCGAATTTGACTCCTGCATATCAGTTATCAAACACTGTGAAGTTGATCAGTCGAAGGATATCAGACGAACAAGATTGATAATATTTGTTCCTAAAGAGGTACACGCATTTTTTAATGGTCATCTATTAAAACAGTATGACTTGACTTTTATAAGCATTATTTAAGTGATGTTATTTTTGGATGTAATTTGTTTCTTTGACACTTTTAATTGTGTAACTGTTTAGATAAGGTTTCAAGCTGGTTGCCGGTATCTTAGTACTAGAAAAGTCAGGCAATATTCTTCTTGCTGGTTCTTTTAGAGCGTATTTAAGAATACAAACTATGGAAAGGGTAGGAGCGACGAGCATATAATATATGACTGGGCGAATAGCAGTATAGTGAGCGGTTAAAATATGTATTATCTGTGACACCATAGGTTAAGTGAACTTAATTGGCTATCTGTGACAAAAGTATCAAATGTTACTGGCTTTTATTTAATGTTGCTCTTTGTATTAGGATCTTTATAGTCTTGAAAAAGAATAACATTTGAAAAGAGTTAGTGCTCATTAGTGTGTATGCCCAAATTATGTGAGGATAACATTGAGAAAATGTCCAGGGTGTCGATTGAATTTGACTTTTTTACCATTGTTTCCCGAAAATTTTTGTCTACATACTGCGGAACGTTTCTAATTTCAATATTTGAACACTTTGCACTAGCATCAACATATAAAGAAATGGATGTTTAAGAATATTCAGTCCAGCATACTGTCTTATACTTATATTAAAGATTTACTTGCATGTGCTGCATACGCTTACATACTTAGAAGTGATAGAAAAAATCCACTGCTCAAGTGAGCTGGATGGTTCAATCGCGACGCTTTCATTTTCTCGATATCTCCGGTGCATCCATCCAGCGTGTCCCCCTAATCGTCTTTGCCAAAACAAGAAGAACAAGATATGCACCATAAAATGTGCGGATTTTATTTCGAGGTTTCTCTTCAGTTATAGACGATTCAAAATACACGTAGGTTTGGTGAAATAAGGACAGCTATTCAATGTATTTCACAATTGTGTATTCTGTTGCATCATTATTACATATTAAATTAGTTGTGCTCTCTGAGCTGGATGATTTAATTGCTAAGCTTTCGTCATCCTTCTAAACACCATCTTCACCGCAGGTTTTAGTTTATATGTATATTATGTTACATTGCTTTTCTTGACCCACTGACCTTAACTCAGCTTCTTGTATATTATTACTAGATAAACTGCTTTATTTTGGGTTACTGACCAAACACCTTGAATATTCTTACAAACGTTATAAACAGTTACTTTCATTTCTCGCCTCGTGTTTTGTAAGACTACTCTCTCCATGCTTAGTTTTGCTCGTAGTATTTCTGTTATTAGTAATGAAAACGAAGGCTTGTTATTACTTACAAGGAGGTTTTACGTTGATTTACGTACGGAAGGAAAGTGATACTAAGTATCATCAGCACTCAGTAGAGCATTGCTACTCAAACGTATGTTTTAGCCCATTATTCTCGGGATGATTGCATAAGTAACTAAGTTTACCTTTACGTATAAGAAGTAAGCCGGAAGCAGTTTAGTGTAAGATATCTTACAGTTATTTGTTAGGGATTTTCAGGGTAGACAGTTTAGTTTTCGGATTTCTGCATAGTCAGTATTTGTCTTGAAGAAATTCTATACTCCATAAAACTCAGTACAATTTTTCATTCTCTGTTACTTTATTTCCAGTGTATAACTCCGTTATTGTGTTTGTGTGCTCTGTAGATAATCTGGTGCTCTCGCGTTGTATTACTTCTCTTTGTAGATTGCTGCAATGACTTATCTTTTGGAATCTCGAGGATTTCTCGGTCGGAACGTGTGTACTGCTAGTTTATCACTAAGTTGGATTCAGTTGGACACGGATTTAGTAACTCTAAATCTGCCTAATTTATATCCAGATTTTTATTTATACAAAGACTACTGCTGGCCTCACTATATGGGTATGGAGTTGGGACGTTTACTTAAGCTGACTAGTGAAAGCGATTTGGCTCCAATGGGTTGTCGAGTAGGTTTAATTGACAGTGGCAGTTGCTGTTACTTCTTACATATGCTTTTGTGATTATCAGTTAACTTTTTCCTAATGTTGAGTAATGTTTAATACAATTGAGGGTAGTGTGTTTGTATATAGTATTCGTAAATAAGATGAACTGAGGGTATAGTTTGGAGGTATAGAATGCTTCACTAGTAGTTGACATATAGCAAAAGGACACTACGTATCAACTACTGTGAATTTCGCAAATTTAAACTTTTTGAAAGCAATTACGAATGTTTCCTTTTCCTAAGACACTGGAATTCGGTAATTCCATAACCATATATTTCTGATCGTAGACTTTTATTTACATCTCTATATTACCTTTATTTTAACAGCTAAAAGTTTTTATTTGAGAAATGAAATGATGATTATGACAAACATACAGAATGAATTAGCTGATGTTGGTGTTTTAGTTTCTAGTTCAAAATGTGTTTCGCTTACGAAGATATGGGAATTTGAGTAGTATTGCTGGCCCCATACATTAGGCATTTGGAGCCATATGATGTTGCTGCATAGCAATAACTCCTCTTTCTCTAAGTCATTTTGTTCTTTTCAAGAGAAAATGAACTATGTCAGGCATTGTACAAACAAAAATTTTACATTTGAAGTAAAACTTTAATTGATTATTGGCTGCTCAGCATTAAAAATTTTCGTTAAGTAGAGAAGTAATTTTTTCCAATAACTAGGTTCATGCGCTAGGCGAGGCTTCACACGTCGTTGCCGCTGGTATTCGTTTATATTGTATTCAATCAGGTTTAGTCAACATGGATAAAAAGCCTTCCAACAATGCTTACTCACAGTTAAATCATCAAAGAAATGGATCAGCTCCCGATGAAAACAACTCATTACCAATGTTAGACTCACAGTCTTCATCGTCAGCATCATTGTCGAGTATATCTCTTCGCCCACCACCATTGGTTCTCATATTTAGTCGTGGTAAGTCCATAAAATTTTGTCTGTCTTTTAAAAATAAGTATATTCCTCATTACTTCTTTGAAAATTTAATTTACTGAAGAAAGCTTATTATTTCTTAAACTACTTCAAACAAATAAGCAGAAAGTATCCGTGCGTTAAATAAGTTCACAAAAGTGTAACAGAAATATTATGCGAATGACATTACAAAGAGAAACTAAGCACGAGAACAGAAAAACAACTTCAGAAAGAACTGTGATGATCAACATTGAAGGCAAAACACATTCCATAAATCTACATAAACCGAAAAAATCAGTCAGGCCAGGAAGAGGATTTATTAATCATATTTTCAACATTCGACAGATTCTGGAATGTAGGCATATTAACCAGTTTCAAACACTATTTCTTGACCTGAGGTCAGCGTTTGACTCCGTCGACTGAAAGGCACCATGGCAATGTCCGGCAGTGGAGTGCCAAGAAAGTTTATCGCACCAATCAGGGCATTCTACTAAAACTCACACAGCTGTGTGAGAGCTTATGGAGAGTTGCCATCTATAGTAATGACAGCTGTCAGTGTTCACCAGGGACGCCCAATGTCCTCTCAGCTGGACAGCACATATGTGATTATCCAATGGGATTAAGTCAAGTGGCATTTTCATACCGGTGCTCCTAATGCTGCAGCTACGTCGCTAATTCCCCGCTAACCAGCAGAAAGACTTACTGGCACCCATAAGGTGAATTCTTTAGATTCACCCTATTGGACCAGTGGAGTTAAGTGAATAAATACACTTGGGCCTTGTACGCATGTCTCCGAAGTGACATGTCCATAGCCCGAGGTGTCGGGTTTCCAACTATTTTGCTCTGTTGTCCAATCTGGCATGAGTTTGGGACTTTGAAAGCTCAAATATCAAGTTGCCTGGGTGATCGTAAGAGACTAGAGTATTGTTTCTCTCGCTCAGTTTGCTTCTAATGGTCTCAGAGTTTTTGGAAGGTGAGGGACATACCTGTGGAGTACTATTAACAGTAGGCGGAAAGTAAGAAGATGAAACTGATGGGGAATAAAGGTGCGTGATGATTACTCAAGCCTTGTGTATTTTTAAGGAAGTGTGTGGGTAGTTATTACTTCCCTGCTGCCAACACCTTGGAAGCTATTTCCTTCTTGAAGTACCTGAAGCAGAAAAAGCATAAGTGTAACATGGCCACGAAGCCCAGTGGACAACTGCTTGATATGGGTAGCCATATGCCATGTATACGTCAAGAATGATGCCGATTGGTAAGTACTGAAAGTGCTGTTCACATCCGTCCTGAAATGTCGTCATTGATTAGTCCATTAGTGCTAATGTAAATTTCCAATCAACTGGCGTGGTAAATACACTGGACGAAGCATTTTACTTCCTAACTTTAAAACGTGATTCGGCTCAATCTGGTTGTTCAGTATTGTTTTACTTTTGACTGATGCGATATGTATGCTTTTGACATAGTCAATGTTTTGTTCAAAATGTTCTATCCAACATTTCAATCGTGTTGCATGAGTTACTGAAGTTCCATCGTTTTCGGAGATGATTTCACTCACGAAATATTTTTAGTTACTGTGCGTATTACTGATATTTTTGGGGCTACGTACAATTATAGATAATACCAGATCACGTATTTTAATTGGCGCAATTTTAAATAAACCCGACTGTTTCTTCCTAATCGCCTAACTGTAGAACTTTTCTATACACACTTACAGATTTGGATTATATAACTCCTCTTCTAGTCCCGATGACATTTGAAGCTTTAATTCACGAAGTAATTGGCATAGAATTAGGTGAGTCTATGTCAAATATTTTTATCTTCTTAAATTCTACTTGTCGTAAACTATCCTTTATGTGAACATAGGTGTAACATTTTATTCTGGTGTCCCTTGTCGTCAGTAAAAATGGATCTCTAAATGCCCATTTATGTAGTTCAAGTAAGATGCACATAGTTCCTCAAATCGTGAAGGGAATTTGTCCTACGAAGTTTTTTATATCATAACAAAATTGATATGATTATGAGCAATAATTGGTGCTCGAAACATCGTCCAGTTGTTAATACTGCGTCACTGTGTAATTATTAAAATAAACTTATCTAATGTGGAATTACATTCTACCACAGTGTCCAAGTTCTAGACTTACATCAATCCTTAAAGAAATCCTGTGTCTGTGGTGGAGCTACTGGATTAGACCTGCTTATTTTCTACTATGTGCAATTCTATATACGTCTGAAAGCGAGTTAGAAGAGATAATTGGGGTGTATGCTATGAAAGTTTAATTACAACCTATTTCAGAGGGCTACGGTAGGTAAAGTAAGATTAAGATTAATTAGGCTTCAAAGCCGTTAAACCAGAACGTGGCATCAATATATGAATTATAAATAATAAGAAATATTTGTACTTGAGATTTGTGGAAGCATTTCGATGTTCTCAGGGCTTCGATATTCAATCACAGACATTTAATCACCAAGCTTCGTGACATCTGAAACATTAAATTCATTATTTAAGTGAAGCATATTCACAAGTAGATTACGTTAAATACATGCCTATATTTCTGTTGAATACGGTTTCATTCAAATGCCGTACTTTTGGAAATTCTCATACTACATTCGAGTGGCACGTTGTGAGGTAACAATTTTCTTCCTGACCCTTAATTTAATTTTTTTAAAGAGCTGTTCTCTTACTGCTTGCAGTGCATTCGTTTTTGGGCCTCTCAGCTTCAGATACCTTTCGTTTTGTTCCTCTTCCACTTCCTGCTTGCTATCAATACCGTAACATTAGATTTTTTTTAGTAAATTTATCGTTGTGATTTACTGTGAGTGCCGCATTTCGTACTGACACAGTATCGATACAAGCTTCACAGCTCTGTTTGTTTTAATCAGATTTAGTTGTCTGATCAAATTAGACTACCAAAATAATATAATCTCATTAGGTAGCAGCACTGGAATGTGTTTTTAAGTGCATTCAGTTTGATTTTATTTTCGTATTCATACGAATTCTTAGTGACTGTATATAGATTCAGAAAAACTGTTAATTATACCTATTGCATGTATTGATGAAGCTAAGTGGTTGAATTCTAGTCATGCTTGGATTGACAAAGGGAGATTACCAGAAGTATAGGTCACACTATTCGCCTATCACAATATATTTTGTTATACAATGCATTTTTTCCCACATTAGGTAAGTTCTTATAATGTAACACAGTAATGCAGTATTAATAACTGGATGATGTTTCCAGACCATTCTATTACCCATAATCATGTCAATATGAATTTGTACGCAAGTTATGCATGCTGCAGTGGTTTAATCTAAATAAATGTATGTTTATTTTCCGTAACTTTTATATCCGACTAAATGTCATGCTGCCATACATTTTTATGCAAAGATTGGGTAGTTATGCATAGAATCAAATCTTCAACGAAGCGAATTATTTCCTCCGAATGCTTATTTTCTATGAATTCCTCACGTGTTTGAAGGCTTATCAGACAACTGTTGGAAATTGAATCAGTGTCATCTCCCTTTGAGTAAACGCAAGCTGAAATCGCTGTCATGTCAGCCACATCTGCATTCAAGATGCATTAATCCAGGGGAATAAATAGTTGACAGTAATGCATGCATCCCCTAAATATTAAATATAGTTAATTTAACAAATTGCAAAACTCAGAGAGTAGAGTACTAATTTTTATGTTTTGGGTGGTAAATCTTGTGTGAAATGTTAGTTAACAATTCCTGTATTCAGTAATGAGAGGAGTTCCCTTTCCGACAGTTTAGACTGTCTATTCATTCCTCAGAACACTAAGTGCGTTAATATCGTTTCAATTTATTTTGTTTAAGATCAAGAGCAGTTCAAACTATATTCGCAACACATTCCGACGTCCGATGGTCAGACATACATTAGGAAGACACCAAATAGTAAAATATCAGTTTTGCTGTCGTCACACGAATGTTGATCTCATCTGTAGCACTTCCATTAATACCCCATATGCACCTAAATACACAGAGTTTTCGAGTACGTCTAACGTCACATGCAAGAATTTGCACAGACATAGGTTCCTGTCAGTCGTCTTGACATACTTTTGAATTTGACAACGCAGAAGGCATAACATCACCAACCAGGTGCGATTTGGTTAACGTGTATATTATAACGCAATAAGACTATGTCGTTTTCATACTTATGAATAGTATCTCTCTGTGCCGCCAGTACGCATTTATTTTCACGCCTTCTGTTGAAGCTCATCGGTAGAAGTAGTGAATATAGATAATCGTACCTTCAGTATACCTAGAATGGCATTCGACTATTACTAAATACAATTACTTCTGTTATCTCGTTGAGACCACAAGAGTTTGCAGCCCATTTTTTTCATCCCTACTTAGTTTCATGTGCAGAAGCTTTACGCGAATTACTGTGCTTGTTATTCACTGAAATGGACCAAAAGGCGTCAAGAAGCTTCAAAGATCTTTGCAAGAACTCAGAGTTTGCTATCATGACGTTCTTCTAAACTCCATCTCCGTTACGAACTCTGTCGCCCAAATTACGACTATCTAATCCACACTGATCAGCCTAGCGACTGTCCTGGAAGACTGGAGGACCCATACATTCAGAGTCCTCAATTATCGATACGATAATTTTCAAACGCATTTGGTTGAGGACAATGAGTTGAGAGTAAAAACTATCCTTCGTTGCCCACTGGTTGCAATTTATTTGTGTTTAGTTAGAAATGTTTAAAGGAAAACGCTTTTCTTGAGTGATTCTTACTCTAACTAGACCTAATAGTTTAATAACAAGTAAATGGCTGTTAGGGGATTATATGGTTTGGCCTTGGTACCTAATACCACCCCGACATCACTTAAGTCTGATGGCAATGCTACAGAGTTCTGCAATAAACGTATATCGAATGGATTTCTCCAGATGATTGCTAAGGCAGTAGAGAACCTCAAAGAGTACATTTAAGTAACCGGAAACAGATTCATACAGCTTCCGTTTTTGGATTCTTTAATCTATATGCAAAATTGGTTTAGAATCCAAGCTTTCGAATCCACTTCGAGATTTGCTTTGCTTTTTATACCGTCAAACTGTTTGTAGGTCAAAATCAATATTTTCGGGGTTTTAAGTGGGTTTAAAAATTAGTTAGTTATAAAGACAACTGCCTTGTAAATCCCCTGAAAAGAAAACGTGGAGAGTTTCATCTTTGTTTCACCATGCCGTCTGCTTTATCGTATCGATGTTTTAGTTTTGATATTTACCTTTATTCTCATTTTCTTTACTTGTATTTTTAGGTCAGGTTGAATTGCCACTTGAACTAGTCGATGAAACAACTCCACAGAAGCAGGTTCTTGATAGTACAAAACAGCAATACTATAAAGTAATTTTTATTACATTATCTTTTATAATTATTGTTTATATATGATAAGATGCACACTTATTTAAAGACATTCACATTTATATGAGTTTATTTAATAATTCTGTTGGATTGCACTGATTGAATGTCATATAGTAAATTCAATATATTGATTTTATGGTTTACATTTTAGCTATTTTATGAACCTATTACGAAATGTAGGGCAGGGTAATAAATTCTTAGAAGTCGATGAAATATAAGTGCATTCTAATATTGAATCCGTACTTGCTGATAATTGAGCAGTTCATCATGGTCACGAGTCCAAAATATGATCCTATCTCAGCTGAGGAGCCAGTCAAGAAAAGCAACCCATCAATATGCATCGCATGTGCTCAGTCATCTCACTGGATGAAGCTTCTGACCGTATTGCTTCACTCAACATGACGGATCAAATGATAGTAACTGTGGTCGAAACCGGTACTAGTTTCCCATCTTCAAAAGCAATGTCTCACAGCCACAAGTTATGACAACAAAAATGGCGGCTATAGTGGCTGCGCCAAAGTTGACGCCCATGGAACAGCATTAATATTATACCCCATTAGAGATAGATCAAATTCTAGGCTAACTGATTCCTATGTGACAAAATTTAAGCTGGAGGAAATTCAATCAGAAAAAGATGGAAAATGATTAGTTTTGACATAACCAGTGTATTTAGTAATATTTCCATTAATACAGCTCTGCAGGCGGTTAGGAATGAAAATGACAAAAATAATGTGGAATTCAAAGCCTCTGTAGTACTGCCGCATAAAGAAGGAATATCAGAGGCCTTATGTAAGATTCTCAATGAGGCTGGAATTACGGTGACATTTAAACCAACCAACCAACTCTCTCAGAGATAAACTTTGTCGGCTTAAGGAACCAACAGATCCAATCAAGAAAATATATGATATAATTTACCAAATACAATGTAGTGACCATGAGTAAGGTCAATTACATAGGTGAAACTAATAGATTGAGGTCAATTAGATTATTGGAACATACAAAATTTAGCTAGACCTTGAATGACTGAGTCTGCTAAGTTGGATAACCTATTAAAAACACAGCTCAGTCATTGCATCGCATTCACTTGCATGTGAACACATAGTAGGGTAGATGTGACAGTGTGAAAGTATTAGAAAGTAATATAGTTAGGTGAAGAGAGAGGTTAGTTAATCGCTGAAGCTTTGTTTATCTATTCAACACCACACAGATGGAATCGAAATGACGCAACACAACACCTATGCAGGAGATATCGAAAGCGGTAACAAATAACAAAGAGGAGAGGGTAAGATTGTGAAGCCATGTGACTAAATTGATATGATTATGAACAATAATTTATACTCGAAACCTTGTCATCCAGTTGCTAATACTGCATCACTGTGTGGCATTTAAAATAAACTTATCAAATATAGGCGTGGTATCTGTTGGATACCTCTGGGCATACAAGTGTTTCATAACCCATGGAAGGTTGATGGCACTGTCTATATAATCTAGTCAAAAATTGCTGCAACACTCTGGTTTTACTTGGTTTGTGTAACTCAGCTTTTCTACTCCTACTTCGCATTTTTTTTTCTTTTTATTTGTACGTAATCTTTCTAACGAGAAATCCGTCATTGTCATATTGGTGTTATTATTCAGTGTACTGAATGTACTTTATTATCAATTTTATTTCATAATATAAAAATGTGATGTAATAATAATTTGTTGTAAAGTAGTGTATCAGTGTGCTAAACAGCAGTATGCAACTTATTAAACCACATATTTATATTATTCATGCCGAGTATCATTTTTTTTCACATAATGGATTTAACTTCATGGGCACCTACATTTATTTATTTTCTGCTATTCAGATGATATATTGCTCTCATTCATTTCATTTTCTAACACAACATTTCTCAAGGAAATTAGAGATGTTCATATATCTCGAGTACACTCTTTACTTTTGGATTGGCGTGGTAAACTACAAGATTCTCGTGGAGATTTAGAAATGCAGTTGGTCGGTCATCCTACGGAACATCAAAACTCACACACTTATCATAGTGGCAGTTTTGAAAATCATAATTTACGTAATATCAGTACACGTTTAGGACCATTATTGGTTAAAAGGCGTGAATTGTCATTTTTACTAGCCTGTTTGGAACAAATACTGAATACAATGACACGTAAAGAACGTGTAGAAGATTTACGTTCTGCACAGACATTGTTATTACAATCTGGAAGTGGTGGAACTCTGGCAATGGCTGAAAGTGGAATTCCACCTACTGATGATGATAACTCTAATGTTGATCGTAAGAGGAAAACAACTCCAGTTTCAGCTGGCGGCGCTTGTGGTAATTTAGCTGACGACATTAACTCTATGCCTATGCGCTTGTCTATGGAATGGTTGACCACTCAGTGAGTTGCATTTTTATATTATCTGAAGTTTGAATACCGGCTTTTCTTCTCATAAGAGCTTTCGCTTTTTATTCAGGTGTGTCTGTGATGACCAACTTTGTGAAAAGTCTTTAGTTGTTATGCCGTCTTTTGCTGTGCCAAATTGAAGTATTAAAATATATTTAACCTACTTCAGTACAGATTTCCTCACGAATCAACATGAACTGGAATATTATTAGAGTTAAGTATCACCAGCAAATTACTTGACAAGACTCCTCATTAACTTAGGAGCCTTGTTGAAGAGTGAGTGAAACATAGATGTTTCATAGTCCTTTCTTTCTGATTCTTTGATGGTTGGTTTTAAGTTGTGAAAAAATCAATTAGATTCTGGAAAATCCATGACGTAAGGATTAGACTTTCGTCTTTTTGCTCTTTATGCAAGGTAGCTATGGTTTCATATCCATCCATCAGGCAAAACTTATTTGAAGTGTATACACTAAAAATTGAAGATTTTCTTTCAACTTGCAGGAAAGACAACTGATGGTGTATCTGATTCTCCCCAGATATTATAAATCTAAACTGTATACAGAGTTCCAGTAATTCTACTTAATTGTATGATTTGTGCATATGATTTGCAGTCATTAAGCCACTATTTTTTGTTAATAGTGGTCATCAGCGGTTTTTGTACTGTGCATTATATCTACAGTAAACATGTATTGTTGGAATCATTGTTACTTGCAAAGCGTTGTAACTAGTTTGTCGTGATTATTTATTTGAGTAATCAACAGAATATTATTTGAAAACTATTATCTTCTAGCCTTGTTCTTGTGTTTCACGGTTAACTGTGATATGCATCACTTCATTATGTAATAATGGTTTTCTCAGTATTTCTTTTTAATATATGAATTATCATTCACACTTTTATTGATTGACAGGACGAATACAATGTCAGATAAAATACTTTATTACGTTTAAATTTTTCTATTGCCTTTGCATACATTGTCATGGAGTTAAGTAAAACCTTCCTAGAAGTTTTTATTCCATTTCAGCTTAAAGCATTTGAACTCCTAAGATTTTAATATTTCTAATTTCTGAAAAGTTTTAGGTGATTAGATAGTTGACCATCTTTGTCATCTCTAAGAGTATGTGTGCTGTTTGCGCTTAGTATCATTGATGTTCGGTTCTCGGAGCTGAGTCAAATCAAGCACACAACAGGTGACCTTGACCCTAAATAAGCCAAACGACCTTAAGGTACTTAGATCACCTCGATCTGGCTAGCAAGCACTATTGGTTGATGTGAAGCATCAAACAGCTCGCATTATTTAATTACTGGCATACAATACTATTGCATTATGTATCTCGTAAAGTGTATTTAGGCAAACATTGAGGTGTTGTTGATATATATATATTATAGATAGTTTTGAAAGATGTTTCTTGGAGATATTGTGGCAAGAACTGTTGATTATGTTTGTCGCAGATTTCCATCCTCATTCGGGACAAGATTGTTTCCTTCTTCGGCCAAACTGTCTTTTATCAAATATGTGAGGCAGTCTCAGTAGTTATTATCCAACAGATAGTATCAAAATTAGATCTAGCGTCACTGTGATGTGCTCCAGACTGTCACATTTGTATATCAAGCTGAAAATTATACTATCTGACTGTTATCTAGTCAATTCACATTCTGTGTAAATCAATGCAACTGGTTCTTGTGGTTTCACTACTTTTTGATGAATTCAACCAAATTTTCATAAGAATACTAATTTTTACAGTTTGCTTTTACTTTTGTAGCCATGGTGATCATTTGATTGATGGTCTCCGCCTGGCGGCATTGAACTGTGTTTTACATGATGGTCTCGGTGAAGAATTGTATGATGTCATGTACCGCGCTGTAATGCATGCTGCCGGTCAAATCACTTTTCCAATGCTTGAAGCATTATGCTCGCTTGGTTTAATGTGTCCTCGTTCCAAACTTCCTGAGTCAATCATGGCAGCTAATCATTCATTTGAAGCAGAGTCGAATGCAACTATTAGTCAGGCGAGTGATTCAACAAAGAGGAGTGGAAAATCACTACCTCATGCTGTCTCGAAGCTTAGATTATCACATCGCCAGAAATCTCGTTATAAGTAAGTCAGTATATATATGAATAACTCAACGATGATCCTTATTTCAAGTTTGGCGACGGATTAGTTAGAGAACCATTGGAGAGTCAAGGAGTACTGTACAGCTGTCTCCTCCTGGTTTGAAACTCTTCAGGAGTACCCACCACTGGGGTTCGAACCCAATACCTTCCGGTTACAAAGAAAGCTCTTAGACCATTCACAGCCACTATGGATCCCATTGGTCAAACCTGAAACGAATTAAATCTCTACAAAATAACTCTTGAAAATTAATCTGATACTCGCTATCGAATAGCCACAAGACGACGTTGCCTGGAGTTCCAGTGAGAAGTCGTGAACAGTGGGGCCTACTCGGTTAGGAGTGAGGACGAATACTCGTCCATGACACTGATTGATGGTTGCGTTAAAATCACGAATTGGTAGGGGTTAGAATTCATGTGTCATTGAGTCAGGTCACAGTAGATGTGAATGGTCTAAGAGCTTTCCTTGTAACCAGAAGGTATTGGGTTCGAACCCCAGTGGGTAGGTACCCTTGAAAAATTTCAAACCAAGAGGAGATAGCTGCCCAGTATTCCCTGGTTTTCCAGTGGTTCCTCTAATTGCCAAACTTGAAACAAATCAAATCGTTACAAACTAACTCTTGAAAATTATCCCTATTCATCTTTCATATGGAAGTATCAGTCTAATTCATTTCAGTTGGTAGTATTACATTCTACGGTTTTCATTTCTATGTCTTATACTCCTAAATATTTTGTTTTATCCTTCTCTTACAGAAGATTTCCTTTCATCTAAACGCAGGGTGTACTTTTTGTCTATAACTCTATATCCAAAGTATAAGATTTCAGAATAGATTGTTTGAAATGGTGATTGAAGTTTTTTGGAATTAGTAAGTCCCACTGGGACTTGCGTCTGTTAGTTAGGGTTTTTGATAAACTTCATCAAAGGATGAAGGAATTCCAACATAATATATAGCTATGATGTAACTTAAAATAGTTACTACTAAAAACAGATGTGTGTGTGCAAATTTGATCTTTGACTTATCATTTCAAGTACTCAATTACACCTATAGAGATACAGTGTTTTTATATTTAGTTTTGCCGAAAGTTAACACAGGTTGTCAGTAAATATTTTTTACATTATGTCTACATAACCGACTTACTCAATTTGACTGCTACGTGATAAACGGAAGTTGTTGGAAGTGGACAGATTAGAAGTATTTATTCTCCAATTTTGTTAAGTATTTACTCGGCCAAGCTAAACTTTAGACACCAGTAACTACCAACCAGCGAACGACGTCGAATTATCCAATGAGATTCACGAACGTAGTTCAATGTTGTATAGTGCTTGATTCATTTCAAATGCGTGCCCTTACAAGGTTACGTTTGCAATTCGAGGAGGATAGTGTCTTTCAGTATTGCCTGGACTTAGGCTTGCTTCGAAAGGAGAGAAGTTGTTCGTGTGGTGGTGTAATGATTCTAAAAAGCTATACCAGGTCAACTGATGGATTTGTCCATCGTTGTGGAATATGCTGGAAGCGAGTTAGTATTAGAGAGGGTAAGCTGCTAATTTTAATATTTCGTAGGAAGTTTTTTTGCTAGGTTGCATCTCTCCCTAACCCAGATTTTGTACATCTGCAATTACTGGGTATTGAAACAGCCGGTGAGAGCCGCCTCTGTCGAGACGGAGAACAGCCTCGTCTCAACAGTTCAGTGGTACCAGCACTGCAGAGACATCACCTCATGGAAAATGGAGAGAATTACTTCGTTGTTAGGCGGGGACGACGTAGTAGTGCATGTGGATGAGACAGTGTTGGTGAAGAAGAAATATAACCGTGGTCGTCAGAGAGCGAACAATATTTGGCTCACAGGTTTGTACGACACGTCCCTCCGAAAAGGATTTGTTGAAAGAATAGCAGACAGGAAGGCGACTACTATGATACCTATTATAACGCGACTTGTGAAACGGGGATCAATTGTACATAACGATGAGTGGGAAGGTTACAATTCATTGTCATCCCTCGGATACATTCATCACAGAGTGAACCACTCCAGTGATTTCGTGGATCCAGTTACAGGGACTCATACAAATTCCATTGAAGGATTTTGGGGTCGATTGAAAAATAGGATACGGGCTATAAATGGATCTCAAAAGGATCTCATTTATAGTCATTTAGATGAATATATGTATGGAATGTGGTGTGACTTCTCTGTTGACAGTCCCATGCTGAACTGGGAGATGTTTCTGTCCCACGTTCGGGAAAGATACCCATTGTAACCTTTTTATCCTTTTTTTATGCATTTTTCTTTAAATATACGTTTCCACTTATTATAAACGCCTCTTTCATGTGATTGGTCCGTTCAAGGTCGTTTGCTGATTGGTTGTTACTGGTGTCGAAAGTTTAACTTTGCCATTTACTCTTCTCATGTTACTTCTTATTTTACTCTACTTGTTCGGCAATTATGTCTTCCGGTCATTCGTTAATGTGACTGTGATTTTTTTTTGAATCTTGATTATGTAAGGAGGTAAAATTGTAACAACAGAAGACAAGGGCCAGGCAACAGATCGTTTTTTAAGAAAAATCAACACATATTTATAGATTTTAATGTACATTATTGTAGATTATTGTTAGTAGAAAATATAGTCTTTTGATTGGTTGTTTCTCACTGAAAGTTAACCTTGCATCTCTTTGTGGCTGTGTCAGATCATCCATATGCTAACTGTATCCGCCTACGCAAAGCCTTTGTTCTCATTTTCTCACCACCAATATTGGGGACATAAACATTGACGTCAATTACTGTCTACAAGCTTTGGCTAGCAGCCAGCTCTCACCACAAAATAACTTAGAATCATTCGTTAACTTATTGTTTGATAATTGTTTCAGTAAAAAGCATGGTATCGTGTAGATGTGCCCACATAATCTCCTTAGTTCTTTCTGATTTTTATGACTTGTTGTAATAAACTGACAAGTTATCACTGCATAGGTTTATTTGTTAAATCATTTATAATTATATTTTGGAAATTTAGTGATTAGTTACATTGTTTTGGTTTGTTTTTACAGTTGCTTGTATAAGCCTACTTTTTTTTAAAACTGTTTCAGTTATCTGCATCATTTATTACAACTGAGTAATTGGAATCAAGCTAACCGACATGTAGATCGTACAGTTGTCTCACCCACATACGTGTATTCAGGTCAACACTGTCCATTGGTTGTCCGACTCGCAGAGTCTATTTGGTCATCTGGTCTCTTGGATTCTAAATTTCAGTCCGTTCGATCAGATTCTTATGCTTCCGACAAGAAGAATTCGGATTTTGAGTTGATTAATCAATCACAGTTGACTGAAGCATTGAAACATATGGGTCTGTCAAGTGAAGGTAATTATATTGTATTAAAAACTGTTGGTTTGCATTTAGATATTTAGAATAAAATGAGTTGATCGAAGAAGTAAAAATATTTACAGGATTTCATCATGAACTGACATCGGTTAGAAAACCACTGGAAAACATGGAAGTACTGGACAGCTGTCTTATCCTAGTTTAGGGATCTTCAGCAGTGCTCACCCACTGGGGTTCAAACCCAGGACTTTGCGGTTACAAGGTGAGCTCGCATACCATTAAGCCACTGGAACCCGATCCAATGGATCATGGATTCCAACTTCTGTCAATTCACGCGATATGGCATGGCCACTAGCGAATGTTATCGGTGGCGGGTATTTGTACTCACACCTGCCTTGCTGTACTCCACTAATCGCAACTTCCCACTAGAACCCGGGTAACGTACTACCTGAATAGGGCCAGTCACTGGTGAGCATCAGATTGATATTCAGGAGTTGGTTCGCAGAGATTTGATTGGTTCCAAGATTTTATCATGAATTGACATTGGTTAGGAGAACCATCAGAAAACCTGGGAGTGTTGTACAGCTATTTCGTCCCAGTTTGAGACTCTTCGTCGGTTTCAGGATATCATGTGGGTGGGTGCATACTGTTGAAGAGTCCAAAGTGGGACGAAGCAGTTGTCCAGTACTCCTGGATTTTTCCGACGGTTCTCTAACCGATGTCAGTTCATGATGAAATCCTGAAACCAATCAAATCCCTGCAACCCAACACCTGAATAAAAATGTTTTTCCAACTAACTTCTAACCAACATCTCAAAATGGTAATGTGGTAACCAATAAGATATTCCAACTATATAGTGCAAAAAGTGTCAAAATGATTACCTAACTGAAGGTTAACAGTTAACAGATGAAGACATCTAATACAGTCAATTTATAGAACGTAACCACACGCTATTACATAATGTATGTTTTGTAAAACAATAGTGATCAAGTAGGATATGTGAGTAGATTAACCTACTTTGTTTGTCCTTAACGATTAAATTTAAAAATACTCAGGAACTAAGAAGTTGACTGGCAATTTTGCGAAGGGCTTATTCTAGCAGACTGTACATGTTGCTCAAATAAATGATAATGATAAAGGACGCAGCTGTACCTGTTCCTTTTGAGTTGGAACTACTAGAAAACTAGCAGTAAACACACATGAGATACGATGTATGACTTTCACTGTTTACATAGTCGCGTCACCCCCTCCCGTATGTTGAGATTAATAATTTGGCAATAAGTAATATATTTCCACTTGATTAACATCATTAGGATATACTCTTTTAAATACAAGATATATGAGTTGAGAGCTATTGATGAGAAGCCAATTTTTTATTGTTTAGTGTGGTTAACAACATTTCCTACTTTACACCTATTTTAAAAATAACTACCTCTGGTTTTTTATTTATTTCATTTATAATAACTCACACAGTGTTCTGAGACCAATGTTTATACACACTAGTTTCGTTATTTTCGGCGGCTGTTTATGGGCGGAAAACTCAATCTGTCTTTTTTGTGAAATCTTTAATCTTATTAACACTTATTCTATTCTGGTTTAATGAGGACCAATTCCCCAACAACTGAATGTGTCTTAATGCCTTTAATAATTAACCAAACTTATCGTGTAACGGCTTGTGATACCTGCCTTTTCGATTGTCGTAAATTGGAGAGGAATTCAAAGTCATGATCCTCTGCGCCGCCAAATCGAATGAGCAACACCACCACACAGTCCGGAAATGATATGCAAATGTAATGAGCTGCAGTAATCATTCTATGCTTGAAAACGTTCTTGAAAACAACACGCTGTATTCATGAATGAAGTTTATCTTGCATCAAAAAAGTGTTACATGAATACAGTGATCCAGTTTTGACGTCTCAATACTAAAAGCTAAAATATCATAGATCGATTACTTTTGATATCTTTGAAATCCGGTTTATTTTGGGTTGAACAATTAAGTAAATAACTTTCCGATTAGCGTATGGGTTGTGAATGCTCATCTAAATGAGATGATGTCTAGGCTCTTCATCAAATAGTTCCACGTATTCTAAGGTAGAAAGAAGCGTATAATTTAATGACCAGATGAAAATTACGTACACTTAGTCAGTGTTCGCTGAGATGACTAAAAATTTTGATTCGCGGTGTTAACTGAATTTAGCTGTTGCACTACAACGTACTTATTCTTCTTGCACAATATAATTAAATTATTACTTCATTAACACCTTGTTGTTTATTCTAGCTAACAGCCTCATTTCTGTGTACTGTTTTCTCAGTAGCAGTGTCTGCTGTATATTTCATCACTGACAAACTTATGAGGATCAAACATGATTAGATCTGTGTGCAAAATAATTTTTAATTTCTTTTAACTTGGAAATAGTATTTGCGTAATATACCAGTTTAAATGATTTACTTTGTTGTTTTTTCTAAGCTGCTTCAAATCTAGGTCTTGTGAGTCTTTGTGATCCGTCACTAACCGCTGCAGGTTATCAAAATGATATATTTTCTAAGAAGAATCGTCCAAACGCTCCGGCACCTCGTCCTTTACCTCTTGTGAGTACTGATCAACCTGTCGTTGTGGCGTTTCCAGGGGGATGTACATATGGTGAAGTTGCGGCCCTGCGGTTTGTCGCTGCACGAAGGAGATGGAATCTGCTCATTGCCACGTCATGCATGCTTACATCTAGAGACTTACTGCAACAAGCTGGTAAAGCAGCAATGAGTGTAAACTCTACTTAGTTCCATACTTCTGTCCATAGACATTTTAGTAACCACTACTCCGCATATCTCTCGCCTCAAAATTTCCATCCTCAGGTCCTTCAAGTTTCTTTAAATAAGAACATAACTTCCTTATCTTACATCAAAATATTTCCTCAATGATCCTAGGGAGTAAAATGTATCTCATATCTTTGATGTAAAAGGCTGTGTCATGAAATTTATATTATTTTTATTATTTCTGTGATTCTTTTTATGTACTAAGTTATATTTCTTGTTGGATACGTACATTTTTTGTCATTATTCACACATTCCTCAACTAAGTTTTCAGTCAAAAAATGCATTTCTTAATTTGTAATAATAATAATACTTTCGTAATTTTGTGCCTTTTATTTACATAGTTTTGACTTTCTTTTTTCTTTTGTACTTTGGTGATTGGTTTCTTTAACGCTGTATTGCTTTAACAGTAAATGTTTTAACCACCACAATCATATTTTGACTCATGTAAATTGATATCATTACTACAACAATACATTACTACACTGTTGATGTTTTAAAAGCTTATTGTAGTCTCCACGATATTGCATGCTAACTAACAAAATTTCTCTGGTAAACAATAACGTTAAGTCCCCGATAATCAACGAATGGGATCGAAATTGCGTCTACAAAGTCGATATCATTCAGCAGACGTTTATTGACTGATACATCAGGAAATCAAATCTTAACCACACAAATACCAAAAGTAGATGCATGTTCATGGCAAACTACGAAATGTAAAACTATAAATATTCAATTCGTGGGTAAAAATTAACGTCTGAAAGAACTGGAATAATCGTGGAAAAACTGCGCCGCCTTCTAATTCGACATTGCTGAGGCTTCCAGGCATTTATTCCCCAATATAAAGCGTTTCGCAACTGTTTGTAAAAACATCCGCTCTAAGGTCACGTGTGTAAATCCAGCAAGACAAACTGAGAATAAAAGTTGGATTAATCATCTCACGCTCATACACTAGGCTTCTTCAATCCACAGACAACGCGTAACCACAACAAAATATATAATAATCTCATCCAATTAGGTGGACACAATAGAGAGAATTTCATTAATTCCAGTTTTTGAGACCGTGAAAGGTAATGGATCACAGTTAAACGATAACTCAGAGGAACTCGCAGTGTTCTTGGACAGCTTAATGGTATATAGAAATACTCTTGTGTCTCTTAATTGCTTGGATGAATTGAATTCGAGTTCCGTGCTTGAGACTGTTGCAAAGAGATTACCGGGTCGTCTGCAAAGAAAGTTCATAAAGGTTAGCTCCCGGCTAGAGGAAGATGGTTTGGAGCCTGGATTAGATGATATTGTGAGGCTGGTGAAAGACAGTGTCAATCAAGCCACTAGCAAATTCGCCAGCATTTTAGATTCTAAGGTAAAACCTAAGGAACCGGTGAATATAAAGAAGAAATTTGTAGTGAAGGCCCAAGGGACAACGAGAAGGGATGAGTGTATTGTTTGCCATAATACGCATCAATTGAGTGATTGCACTCGCTTCATTGCTATGTCTCCCGTAGAAAGGTTAAAAATGGCAAAACAGAAGAGTTTATGTTTCAGTTGTTTAAAGACGGCACACAAAGTTGAATTGTAAGGCGACAGACAAGGAAAGTGGTGGTTCAACCGATGTGCACTCACTTCTGAGGACAGTAAACGAACCGCGGAATTCGGTTAATTGTAATAGCACCTTTGATAACCCACAAGTTTACTTAGGGTTATTACCAGTCAAAATTAGAGGACCAAAATCTTCGGTGGATACTTACGCACTGTTAGATAATGGATCAGATGTCACGCTGTTGGATGCTCAGTAAGCCAGCCAGTTAGGCATTAAGGGTGTTAAAGAACCCTTAGTAACGAATACCTTTAATTCATCGGACAGGTTAACATGCGAACGAGTCTCCATTTTTTGGTTAGACTCCTTGGTAACGGGAAAATCCATCAAGGTCGCAACCGCGTATATCACCCCCAGCCTGAAACTTCGAGAAGCCAAAGTGCCAAATCGTGAAGTGGTTATTAATAAACCACATCTGTCTGATATAACGTTCCCAGTTTTGAAAGATAACAAAGTGAAATTACTTATTGGATGTAATGTACCTTCTGCTCATACAGTACTAGAGGAAAGGTATGGACACTGGAAAAGTTTATTTTACAGTTGATAGTAGATACATATGTAGACGAAAAACAGAGACAAAAACATACAGACTTTGAGTGTAGGTATGTATATATGTATATGTACCTACGTCGAGGGGGAACCTCATCAATACACGCCTGTTCATCGACAATAAACGAAAGTAAGGCAGCATTATAACGACGGTGTTCGTTAATACAGAAACAATAAAGAATAAATAGATATGTAAAACAGACATATACACACTGAGACTGTGAAATAAGAAGAAGAGGAAAGGCGAAAGTGACGAATTAACACAGGATATCAGAACAACAACACAAATTTGTAGCTTGGCGACGAACTTCCCTGAGATAATCACTCACACTTTTTCATATGTATATACTTGTTTAAATTATCACAATCATGATGACTAACCTCAACACCATTACTAGTAATATTACTACTACCACTGTCAGCGTTGTCTAAATCCACGTCTTTGCTTCTTTTATTACTGTCACTCTCTTTATCAACATCATCACCATCAACAACATCGTCTCCATTAGCAGTGACAGTATTCCGGGGAACATCAACAATCCTAGTGTTGTCATCATTATGCCTATTCATGAGGTTGTCATCATTGCCTGGGGTTTTTGTCACTTCTTCTGTCATTGTTTCCAGTAATCCTGTGGGGCTAAGTTTACTTAATAGACAAGGTGTTGACTGTGAATTGATTGGGTCCAACTTGCCAATACTTCTTGACGCCAGTGAGGTCTGTAATCGTGAACGACGTGCTGGATTAAAGTGATTACAGTAACAACATCGAAATGCTAAATATTCAAATTCTTCTGCTAATGCCATTCCATTATGCGAAGCACATTCACTACAGATTAGAGCATACCGTTGATCAGGACCATCACCAACTAATACATCCAAAAGTTTATCAACTATTGAACGTTCTCTAGGCAGAAGTGGTCTTAACAAACGTGGTTTGTTCATTGCTGGTGCCTGAACGGAACCATACATAGATGTACTACTACTTGGTTGTGTAGGCACACTTTGATTTGATAATCCAGGATTCGAAAGTTTATCACCTGCAGCAGCGTCGCAAGTATTTCTACGTCGTTTTTCTGACTGAGAGGATCCCAAGTTGATCATGGAGCCAAATCCAGGCCTTGCAAGCTTTCTTTCCTCTGCAGCCATGGAAGCAAATGTTAATGGATCAAACCGCTTTAGAATCTGTTGCGCTTTGTTGTATGTCTCTTTCTCCTTCACATCCTCTAACAATTTTTGTTTTGTCGCACGCAGCTTTTTCAGTTTTTCATTTGTCCTGTTTACTCGTCTCAAGAATATCGTTCGGAGAAAATATTTCAACAGGAGTATGCACAGCAGACACAGAGCGAATATCAGGTATACTGTGATTCGTCCTGTCACTGTTCGTAATAAACAAGGATGAAGCTTAGACCAAAGGTTATTAACGAGTAGAATATAAGCCTATATACGAATTGCTTTTCTGAATCGATACTTTTTGATCGATCACTCTCCATTTCTAAGAAGCCACTTCAACTCCTCTTAGTTGGACTATACGGGGACCTGTGTCGAAGGCCCAAGTGTCGTCCCTGGTTACTGTCAACGAAGTGAGTACAGAACGTGTATGGTTCGGGATATGTATGACAAAGAGTTCCACGATAATAGTTCTGTGGAAAGAGGGCGGTCTGTCGAAGATAGGGAAGCGGCAAAATTGGTTAATGAAACCTGTACGTTTGAGAACGGTCGATTTATCGTGGGATTACCTTGGAGATCCAAGGATAAACAGACGGTCTGTAACAGAGAGGTGGCAATGAAGAGACTTCTGAGTCTAAGAAAGAAGTTCCTGGTAAATTCAGATCTGTGGACCAAGTATAAAGAGGTCATCGACAAGCACATAGTTAAAGGTTACGTGGAAAGACTGGTTGATCAGAATGAACCAGGGAAATGGTATCTACCTCATCACCCGGTCTTTAACCCCAAGAAACCCAGCAAACTTCGCGTAGTCTTTGATTGTTCCGCAAACCACGAAGTTGTTTCCTTGAACGAAAGTTCGTATAGTGGCCCGGATTGCGAGGGATCACTAGAAGAATTGCTGCTGAGATTCAGAATGTCTCCAGTTGCCATTGCAGCTGACATAGAAGAGATGTTTTTACAAGTAAAGGTGCCAGAACGTGAAGTAGAATTAAAGGCAGATGCGATTGCAGAAGGTATGGATACTAGTGAGACCGTCAGTGTAAATGATCCAAGTGTAGCCCAACTATCGACAGATGTTAAAGCTGAACTGGAGCTAATAATGAAAGATAGCAGTGATGGTAATCTTGCGGTTAGACAACCTTCTAAAGGTCGAACAGCAACGGCTTCTGATGCACCGCTAAGTTCTTCGACTGGTGTCAGTCAGTCGTCGTTGGTGTTGTCATATACAGTAAAAGAGCCGTCCATGAACCAACGTGTCTTGTGCAGTGATTATGCTAGTGTCGGTCCGTTCGAAGGGACGAAAGTCAATGGCCAAATTAGTGGCGATAAGCTAACTGTGTACAAGAGGGTAACTGTTAGACTGACTTGCACGAATAAAGGCATTTCAGGTTTCAAACTACTATTTGTATGTTATTATCTTTGGTGCAAATTACTCTGTGCCTTTGCTTGGTTGGTCACATACGTCGCATGCTTGTTAGTCATCTACATTCCACGATACAATGTCACGAGTGTGTTACCATCCAGAGTTGAGGATATAGATGATGGAAGGAGGTCACCAAATGAACTCAACGACGATTTTCCAACTTAAGCGCGTCAACCTGAGAAGGGTTGTAGGAGTATTGCTGTAAGTCCTACAATTCTTCAAGGGTGGTACGTCGAAGAGCAGTCCATCTTTACTTGGTGTATTATTTTGTACATATGTTCATGTTGTATATACTGAATTGGTATCATCCCTCTTCTATCTGTTGGTTAATTTTGTTTGTGTCCGGACGCCTTCCACTTGGACCGTCAACCTGAGAAGGAATGTAGGCATACTGCTGTAAGTCCTACAGTTCTTCAAGGGTAGTTCGTCAAGGCAGAATCCACAACATTTGATATATTGATTGTACATATGTTTGTGTTAAGTAATTGAGTGGGTTCCGATTCATCTAATTGTCGGTTAATTTTATAGTTGTCACATTGTGTGAATCATCTTGTAATGTTTTTGTAAGTACTTCTGAAGTCGCTTCTAAACTTGTGGACGAATCGAGTAGTGTTAGAGTCAGCGTACGCGATTGGATACGCCGGGGAGAGGATTGTGCTAGAGTGGTATGAAGCAACCAATAATTCGTGAACCAGATCAGTGGTGGTGCTGTCGATAGAGTGCGTAGATCCCACGCGCCAGGGAGAGCGTGTCGGTGTGATGTGGGATGCTTGTTGTGTGTTGGGCTTTTTTGTCTTGCTTTTCCATTTTAGCCTAGTCCCGATTAGCCCAGGTTCTCGCATTAGCCGTACAGTTAAAGGATACCGCCGCTGTGGAAAAAAGGGATGGACCTTATTTTACCCGGGAGTGTCAATGGACGTGAACATTGTACGTTTGTTTATTGGAACTGACAGCCATTGGTGGGCAACTCGAAGGCGCGAATGGTACTATCGCGTGCAAGTTCGAAGAAGGCGGAAAGAACACGAATAAAAGTACTTTAAAACTTCATATGTACTAAGCATTTGTTTCTAGACTTTGTATTTTGTCTTGCTTTAATTGCCAAACAATATAAATTCGTTCAAGGAATACTCGTGTTTTGGATTATGAAGTTTGGAAAAACACACAGTCATTATCAGTTCAAAGCGTCTTCGTTACAATAAGAACATAGGGATGAGTTCCTTGACAGCTCTCCTATTACAATCACAGCAATTATTCTACTTCCAATATTGATTTTAATTCTCATGGTCATTTGTTATTATCATGGGAAAATTTATTACAAGTAGACCGTTCGATGAATTAATTCTTGCAGATTTTCTGGTCCACCTCAGTTGAAATATTTATGAACAAACAGATTGGGATTACCTCTCAAAGCGCAGTTTAATACTTTGCTTAAAAAGTCGGTCAAAAATGAGGTGGTCAACTGAACAATTTAAACAAAACTTTATCAAGCAACCTGTACTGATTTCATGGATCCATGCTATAAGACACATTGAGAACATTGTGATACCACACAATTACAATTGTTCTTATTGGCCGAAAATTATCATATGTGTGATCCATAATCCCTACGTTCGAGAGCTTACCCTTCAATTCGCTAGCTAAAATTGTGATTGATTTACACACTTTGTGTACACGCTGGCTACTCATCGGTCCTCCGAATTTAACACTATCTGACGAAGTGCACACCAGCAATTCCCAGGAAGTTAGGAACTGTGAAGTTATTCAGGGAGTTTATATGCCCTCTTGCAAACATTAGTGTCCAACAATAAAGCTATAATGAAAAGGCAGGTATTTAGTAACCCTACCAGTCGGTAGCATCTTATAGTTTTCTATATCTACTTTTACGGCCACCACATACCAGTAGTCAATTTTTGAGTTTGACGAAAAGAAATCGTCTTTCAATTATGTAGACATGGTAGCGAATTCTACTCCAAAATTTTGGATGCATTAGTAATGGAAGATATGTGAAAAGTTGCGTTTACATAAATATACCCTGTATAAAGCTGGCATTAACGAAAGTCATATGTCCTCAAGTGATACGAGCGTTATCAGCGTAAGTTCTTTTATATAAAGTGAATACGAGTTGTAGGGTGGTTGATACCGTGTATGTTACTGGCTGAGGATCTAATGTTGGAGGTAATTGGCCGAATCCACTGGAAACGACGGGCTGTTGCTTTTTTCCTCAGGTTCACTTAGGACACTTCGGTGACATTGGTTGTCATTCTTTGCTTTGCATATCTGTAGTTTCCGCGAAGCATTGGGAGGTATTATGACCCTAGTTTGGTGCCCCCTCTAGGTTCCGAGGTCGGTTTTCGCAGCATAGGATATGTTCACCGACTTCGCTGTTGGTCTCTTACCACTGTTAAACCACTGTATCTAGTTGCTACTAGGAGCTGAATTCGACATTCAGTAATCTCGGTGAGCTGATCAGTGTGAGGTGAGTTAGAAGAGATAGTTTATAAGTCAACATCACCCTCAAAGTACTAATGGCCACATGAGATGACAGGCATCCCCACAGCCTTTTATCGCTTTTGTGTTTCTCACAAGCAGTGTCAAGCTCCACCTCTGAAACACTTCTTATGACCATGAGAGTGGATGGCATCAGTTCCGGTGACTGCCTCTCCAGTCTCTAGTTTTCTCGTAGCCTACCAGATCTTATTCACATGTTGAAACTGCTATTCATGCCTACTACTTCTGGAAATAATAATATATATTTTCGCTGCCTCGGCAGAGCACAACGGCCAACTAATGGGTGTGACTTTTCTTGAGGTTCGTGAACATGACTGAACAGTCTAGACAACGATACTGGTTTGTTGTCAGGTCCTAGTTTGCTGCAAAAATTAGGCCTTCGTTTCTGATCCCAGTGCCCTGTGTTCAGGCGGACACTTACTGCACCCTTATACGTTAAACAGGATAAGACAGTTTGATCGACTGATCTAATCCTTAGGTGAACTCCTTGGATGCTTGTCATCCTTTCGGAGGTCAGCAAGCCTTAACTGCTTCAGGGTTTGACTATTCTGTCACCATGTCACCATGTGTCTGAATTATTCATTTGGAAACTTGATTTTCCTATCCAATTAATGTAATTCATGCATTACTTAATTGAAAGACGATTTCTTTTCGTCAAACTCAAAAATTGACTACTGGTATGTGGTGGCCGTAAAAGTAGATATAGAAAACTATAAGATGCTACCGACTGGTAGGGTTACTAAATACCTGCCTTTTCATTATAGCTTTATTGTTGGACACTAATGTTTGCAAGAGGGCATATAAACTCCCTGAATAACTTCACAGTTCCTAACTTCCTGGGAATTGCTGGTGTGCACTTCGTCAGATAGTGTTAAATTCGGAGGACCGATGAGTAGCCAGCGTGTACACAAAGTGTGTAAATCAATCACAATTTTAGCTAGCGAATTGAAGGGTAAGCTCTCGAACGTAGGGATTATGGATCACACATATGATAATTTTCGGCCAATAAGAACAATTGTAATTGTGTGGTATCACAATGTTCTCAATGTGTCTTATAGCATGGATCCATGAAATCAGTACAGGTTGCTTGATAAAGTTTTGTTTAAATTGTTCAGTTGACCACCTCATTTTTGACCGACTTTTTAAGCAAAGTATTAAACTGCGCTTTGAGAGGTAATCCCAATCTGTTTGTTCATAAATATTTCAACTGAAGTGGACCAGAAAATCTGCAAGAATTAATTCATCGAACGGTCTACTTGTAATAAATTTTCCCATGATAATAACAAATGACCATGAGAATTAAAATCAATATTGGAAGTAGAATAATTGCTGTGATTGTAATAGGAGAGCTTTGACCCTATTAAGTCTTATTTCATTGGTTTATTAGATGGAAAAGATAAAGGGGAAGTAGTCAGCAAGTATTGTCAATTTGACACCTCCTTCTTTTTATATCAACAAACACTTATGCCTACACATGAATGTACAGCAAGCTATATTGAACAATCTAAACGGTTTTATTTGGTAAATAACTTTTAGATTTCATGTTGAACGGGTTCGTTGTGATACAGTAGGAGTGTGCTCGCAACTGTCAGTTATTCCCCGGAAGGAAATAAGTGTGTAGGATTTAGTTCAGTATGTTCAGAAATATAATAAAACAAGTCAACAGAAGAGTCATGACATCTTACTATTTTAAACTTGCATATAGTGAGAAGGAAATTTCAGTTCATAGTTATGTGTTTTCAAAGAAGTGTTTTAAATTGGGAAAAACTTCACAACCTAACCGCAAGAGTATTGAAAATTACTGTAGATGTCTTGTGGAATAAGTGACTGGAAGAATTAGGATCCGAGAATTTGGAACACTGCCCTGGATTTGCTAAAATAAGTGCTCTCATGATGTGCAGTTCCAATCAGTCGCCGAAAGAAACTGGAATTAATGAAATTTTCTCTTTTGTGTCCACCTAATTGGATGAGATTATTATATGTTTTGATGTGTCTTTGGTTATTCTGTGGAATAATGGAGGCTAGTATGTGGTGTTTCCTTTAAGAGGAATGACTCAGTTCAGTGTTAGATAATTTTTGTTTCATTTTCATTGTTTTTCTATTCTGTTGCCGTCAATTTTTTATCGGCATTTTTAATAGCAAATCTTTCGGCTTGTCACATTTCCCTGCTTCTTGTGAAGCTACATTTGCTCTCAATGTAATTATGCTGCTAGTTACCTTGGAATTCGGTGGTCCTCAAATGGATGTTTTTGTTTTGAAGATTTTCAGCTTTGTAGATTAATCGAGCCTCGAATCACGCTTTCATTTTTGATCGCTGGTTCATATATTCATAATGTTTTACTAAGTTTTTTCTGGAATTTTCAAAGTCTCCGTGTTAGATGAAGAACATCTATTTGCTACTAATACCAGCATATTAATCTTGCACTCTTTGATTAGTCTGCTATTTTAAGTACAATTTGGCTTCAGGTAACATTTTCCATTGGTCGTTCTCATCACCATGTGACTTACCATAGTTATTGAGGGTTCAGAATATTCTCCATTATCCCAATTTCCTTTCATGATCTTAGTACCACACAAGCGTGTGGTACTAAAACGTCATTTACGAATTTATATCCAATCGCTTAACCACAGTAGCTGTGTTTTGAAAAGTTTAAGTGGGACTGAGGAGAGTGTTCTGAAGTACTTGAGGCTTTTGTTGTTGAGTAAAACTTGTCATTGGGTGCAAAAGTGTAATTAGATAAGTGAACCCTATTGTTCATAAAGTGAACATTCATAATGGTTCAAAAATTAACTATTAAGATCAGCGACGAGAGCTAACATAAAATTGAATTTAAGTAACTATGAAATAAAAAGTGTTATCATACTATTAAGTTAATAGATGTTAAATGTCAAAGTGACTGCTCTAAACCAAATGGCTTTCTATCAGGAATTAGCAAGTGGGCCAAGCAAAACGGTCATACATTAAACCCCTCCAAATGCCAAACAGTCAGTTTCACCTTTAGGCATAAATCTGACCTAAACAAACTGGTTAGCTCTCACGAGTTGTGCAACATAGATGGCACTGAAATAGAAATCAAGTCGGAAATTAAATACCTAGGCGTCATTCTATCTGCTGATCTCTCCTGGTCACCTCATATCTTGACGATTTCTAAGAAAATATTCCGTCTTACCTTCAACATCAAGAAGTTAAGACATTCTGGTATAATCCAACCCTTACTCCTACAATTCGTTAACTCTCGCATTCTGCCTATTATTCTCCATTGTTCCCCTTAGTTTTTCCTGGGCTATTGAAGAAAGACTATAACATATTACGCAGGATGTTAAAGGTTGTCAGCAGGGTAAGCAACGTGCCACTCAACCAGCTTGTTAATATTCTGGTTGACAGGCACATGGACTCATTTGAAAAATAGGCCAAATCCATTTTATCTAACTCACACCACACTCTTCACTCACAACTCTCCCCTTGCATCTCATCAGGCGAAACCAGAAGCCTATATAGGAAACTATGTGCTCGCACCAGCAAGTACAAAAACTCAACCATACCCTACTTAGCTCGTGTTCTGTGTGATAAAGAAAGCATTAGGCGTGACACCTATAATTCATTAAATAATCAGTAGTACAACTGGACCTCGTCTTTCCTACTCACATCATTTATAGGTACAACATTTTCTTTCTTTCTTTTCATTTTCTGTCTCTCTTTCTTTATTTCCTTTATGTGCTGCTTTGTTTCTTTCTCTCGCTTACGCCAGTAAATATGATAGCACCTACTTTTCTAACACCTTCAAACATTGTTCAACTTAGGCTTTGCTACCAACATGCCAATATGTTGTTGTCATAATGAAATGAGATTTCCTTAATCTATGTAGGATTTTATTTATTGATAATGTACTAACTGGATGCAATACTGTGGTAAAAAATGCTGAGAATTCCATTCTGTATCACAAGTACTGTTTTGGAATAAAGCAAATTATTATTATTAATACTGCATGAGCGTTATGCGAACGCAAATGTGAGAACAGTAATAGAGGTTTTGTTATATGTTGTTTTGAGTAATATATGAGTATTTTGCTGTCCTTGTTAGCATGATTTGTATCAGGCTTGTATTTAGTCAAGCATTTGTTATTGCAGGCTGCACACAATTAACAGTTGAAAAGTGACTGTGTAGGCATATACGGTTATCTTTTTATTTCAAATTTTATCTGGGAATATTTGAAAGGTACCCCTATATGCATTTTCTCTCTGAATATTCTAAACCTATTTTTGAACTTGTTTTCTTGATTTAGATTGCAATGTTCACTAATTCGCTAAGTTTCCTAGTGCAATAAAGGGTATTAGCATCAGTATATACAAAAATATGGATGGGCAGTGTATTGGCAAAGGAACACGTATGACACATGTGCGTGTGCTGCATTTGGATGATAGCATACATGCTTTTCAAATTTCGGTGAGTGATAAGCCGTCAGTTTTTCCCCCATTAATACTTTAGACAGATTTTCAGATTTCAGTTCCGTCAATTTACCGTCACTGATAAGCATGAGATAGACATTTTACTTTTCAAACGGTACTTAGGTGAAGAAGGAGCATTTGATTTTAGTTTATTCATTTAGGTTGATATGACTTAAACACTGACTTGTCTCAGTATTTATCGAGGCTATTATTAATAAAATCAGTGACTCATCAAGTACTACACTTTTGATTTTAAGGTATGCTTTCAGACTATTTTAGCCTGTATTTAAGAGTACAGTAGTCGGTTTATTTACAATAGAACTTATGGAGGTAAAGTGCTATTTAAGAGCCACCAAAATCATAGTTTAAAAGACGGTATTATTCATTCGGATCACGTAAATACGACAAGCTCTAACAGCTCATGAAGGTTTTCGTCTTTTTACGAAGCAGAGAGTATATGCACAACTGGATGATGTAGATATTTCATCCTGTTTTCTTCTTGCAGCTTGCTGAGTTTCATATCACCGAGTAAAGATTCTTGCTTCCTTGCTTAAAGCTTTATTTTCGCATCTGACTCCATTACGTTTTATCTGTACGCTGTCTTTTCAGTAGAAATGTAGAGAAAGAATTGTTGGAGATTTTGGAGTTTTGCAATTCACTATTTTTTGGCTTGCATTGTTTGTTTTCTCGTGTGATAGTGAAGAAGAAAGTGAGGTAGTAATTTAACCAGAAACTAGTCATAATTTGTAGCAAGTCTGTAGAACTGGGATTTTAACGGAACCATCTTTTCAGTTATCTTTCCTTTAACCTTTATTTAATGCTAAGTTATATATAAATAGAGAAGTTTATTAGGTGAGCCGTTGTGTCAAGGATTTAGTTTGTTGGAAGAAAATGTGTTTGGATCTTGTTTAATTTTTGGTTATAAAATGCAAATAACCATCTGTATGCAGATTTTTGAATTTTAAAATGGACAACAAATAGCCTGAATGAAAGCATATGAAATACGTAATCACAAGTGCATATCTCAAAATATCCGCTTGTATCTTATTTTATTCTTTATTTAGTCCTTAAAACAGACAAGAAGTTTTAAGTATAGTATTGAAAATTTAGATTGAGGAAGACTTTTTTGTCAGTTACGTGACCACTTGACATTTTACAAAGCAATATGAAGGACAAAATTCTTTTATGAAACTTGTATTCTTATTTTTATAACTTTATCTCTCATCTACGCACTCAAAATTTATTCAAATGATTTTATGTCTAAACGACTTTCCTCTTATTACCAATGTGTTTGTTGCTTCTACAATAGCTAACGCAGAGCGTGACATTTCAAGATAAGCAGAAGTTCATCAGTCGATAGATAGATCTAGGTATTTATATGGAATATCACCAATCCTTATTTACACCGAAATTTAAAATTCCTAGAGCACTGGTCTTACCAGTTGTCAAAATGTAATTTAGGACTGTAAATCAGTTACTGATTTATTATTCAGCTCATTACCAAGTGGGACGAAAATTAGGAAAAAATCAAACTTACAAGTCTATGGTACCGCCCTTCATCAAAGGTATTCAATATCTGTGTGTTATTTGACAAGTTCATTTTCTATCTGATGAAACTCTTTGATTGTTTGTCAAACATAAGGCCTTCATCAGGTAACAGGGCTTTTTTACACAACTTTTATTGTGATAAGTTCCACTGTCATCGGTGTTAAACATTTGCTGACTTACGAATTCCTCTATTCAAGTTATCTGTTTGATCTGTTATCTGTAGTTTTAAAAACTACCAGAATTCTGAATCAGACAAAGAAATCTTTTGACAGTATTATACACTGGCATTATATGAATATGGTGTTATTAATAAGTAACTGTTTCAGAGAAAAAGTTCTGTAAAGAGATAGCTTTTCAGCAATAGTACTTTGAACATTACTTCATAAGATTTGCCACTGACTTTGTCAGTATCACTTTTAGAAATTGCAGCAGTATTTTCAGTTTAAATTTTCTTAAATATTATAAGTTAAACCTAGTAATCATGTAAGTTTGTTAACAGAAGCATCAAACGAAAGGTACCACAAGAAAAACTGTACTTATTAGTTATTAAAGTAAATATTATACAGGAAATAGTTTTGATAGCGATTACGTTTATTTCTGTGCGGCGGTGGTTCAGGGGTAGATTGTTCGCAAACCACTCACTTAGTTGGAACTCGATTTCCCACCGGCGCACTCCTAGACCCCGCTTAACCAGTAGGAAACCTGGAAAAGAGGGAATACTGGGCGTGAGGCTAGCAACCCACCTCGTGAAAAAAGTAACACCGTTACTGAAACTTCAAAGCTTGGAGTTTGAAGCCCTATGTTCCACTCGGGACTCACAAGATTGAATTTATTTTATTTTCATTGCATTTCTTTAGTATCTATTTTATTATGGTAACAGTTTGTGTTTATAGTGTATACAGACCTATTTCTAACCTATCATCCATTTGAAACAGTAAAATTTGGAGTGAATAACTAACTATTTTCACTTAGACATGTCTGTTCAGACCTACTGAAAAAGTCCTAATAAATTAGAGTTAGGGACACTTCATATCTTCTAAAGGTTAACTTTGACATTAAGAATTAGCTTTTCACAAACAGAAGCACCTAACTGTCTTGTTAAGCTAGCAAAGGAGAGCTAATAGTCAAGAGAAAAAAGTAAGAAAAAAAGTGTGTAAAAAACATTTCATCTTCACTAATAATTATCTCCTTCATTTTGTTTTTGTTTTAAGCACAATTTCACTATTGGTGATAACCGATACTGTTGTTGTTATTCTTTTTCTCTCAGCTCCCTATCATGACACTGACAATCTATAATGAGGTGAAAATTAAAGCAAATGCAGAAAGAGAGATTTCAGTGTGATGCCCTAAAGTATTTAAGAGTTTATTAATTGTTAAGAAAAGGGATTTTCTTCAAAGAAAGGCAAATGCTTTTGTAGATATAAAAGTTCATTGTGCAGAGAAAAGATAAAATGAAGTTTTACAATGTTTCATCTTTATTTATTTGTTTGTTTTTACTGTGTCTCATACAAAGTAGAAGAAAAAATAGAGGGAAAACTCTGAAGACAATTAAATTTACTTGAAAGCAATGACAGTTCTGTAAACAAAACGTTTCAGTTACCTTTATTTGAATGCAGTTGACTACCAGTGTAGTTGTAAAACGTTTGGACATCGTTTGTCTACTAGGTGATCTTAAATCTCATTAAACTTCCCAGAATAACAATGTGTTATGCTTATTCTAGAAACCTCTAGAGGATGTATAATTATATCATTCACATTTATTATGTACAACTTTGCATGCATTCTTGGACATCGACGGAATTTAGAAAAGCAGATCACAAAATTTACTCAATGAAATGTCTGATATTATTCTGTGGTATATTCCGCATACTGTATGTTAGCCTGTAGATTTCTTGAAATACTTATGTACATTTTTCCTAACAAAGTATAACAGAAATAAATGTTTGCTGTACAGTTTACGTTTGTGTAGATGAAAGGTGATGGTAAGACAATTTATAACTGAATTGTTTAGGTTAAATGAGGTTGGTGAGCTTTTACTAGTTAAACAATTTTTCACAGAAGTTCATTATTTGATGACCATGCATTAATTTGTGCTCGAAACGTCATCAGTTAATATTACTGTACAACACTGTGTGATTTATCAAAATAAAATCTTATTCATAATGAAGTTATACTCTACCACAGTGCCCAATTTTTTTAATTATACCATTTAGTGTTGTCTTCGACATATTATTCTTGCTATTATCAATTATTCATCCATATTGTAGACTAGAGAATTTCCTTACTTGGGTCACTTATTCAAATAATATCTCGTTAATCTCTTGTAATTCATATATTTACTATTGTGCAATGAAAATGAAATCGTCGAAAAGAGAATTTACTCCGCTAAAATCTTTTATGTCTCAGTAGAGATTATTAGTTTATTCCATCATTGAAAAGGCAATTGCTATATGTTAGTTGGTTTACATATGTTCTTCATAATTCAATTCATTTTTTCATTAGATGGAAATATTGGTTCTTCTGAATGATAGTAGTATTCCAGAATAAACATATTTTAGTATAAATACATGACATTTTAACTACAGAAAGTATCTTAGAAATATCTTTTCAGACCATTCACAAGTCTATTTGTTTATTACTAGAAGGTACAATTTTCAGCAAACTCTATCGTATGATAAATATTTATTTTCACACAAACCATAATATTAATATTAATTCTTCCTGTTGGACATATGATGTGTATTTATGCTAACATAGAACATAAAATAATAGATATTGTTAGTTCAGAATGCATACCACAACTCATCAGGGTTTGCTTAGCTTTGACTTTGGAATGTTGGTGCTTTATCTCCGAACTACCTCTGAAGTGCATTACTTGCATAAACTTCATAAAATATCTTATTTACAGGATTATGCTGAATAAAACTGTTCGACTCACAAACAAATAATTACATCAAACTGTAATTGTAGTGTGCCTTTTTCCTCTTAATAACATTTACAAACATTATCATATCACACTTTAGTCTGTGATACCAAAATCTGTTATCATGACACATCATGTTCCCAAATAATACATTTCGTATACTCAGAAAGTTCATGTTATTACATACTTATAAACCCACAAAGGTTTCCACTGAACTTAGAGACTTAACCCACCCCCTCGTATTGTGGAGATAAGCAATGGAGACACAATGATCAGCGTCGGTGGCACAGTGGTTAGGACTGTCGCCGACCATGCACATGGTCCGGGGTTCGATTCCCTACCGAAGCACACCCGATATTTATGGTCGGCCTGCAAAATTTGGGCTACCGATATCCAAGCTGAAAATTCCATATTTGTACTGAAAATACGGTGTGGCATCAAGCTGTAATCAAAATAAAATAATAAAAAAGAATTACTGGTCAGCGTAATTCCCAGTCTGGAAACCGTCAGCCTATTCACATTTTTTA